AAAAAAAATGATGTCCCATGATGTAAATCCATCACCAATCACGTCATCTAGCAATGTAGATCCTCGTGAACCACAATGCTCGCTGCTCGCCGACTGTGGGTTATCATGGTGCATTGGTGTGAATGGGTCCTTAATCCAGTTCAGTAATTTTAGTTTTGGACAAATTAATATACATTTTTTTTAAACATATTTTAAATGTATATACAGTTGACTGGAATTAAATTTGTGATTTTTAACATGACATTTTAATACATATCAGATGATCTGCCTCATGAGAATATACTAGACAACAAATATCTGATCTAGTGTTCATCTTTCACTTTGGTGATTATAAAGAGAAGGTCAAGTTACCAGATTTTCTCTTGCAACTGAGAAAAGCGTATAGCCTTTTAACCCCTTCACGACCCTTGACGGGATAATTCCGTCATGAAGTCTGAAGGAGTTAAACAGACTCCCGTGGTTGTTCAGTTTTGTAGAGCCGACCGCCGGCTTTAGAGTAGAAGCGTTTCTGGTGGCTCAGCTGCCGCCAGATCGCTTCTACGATCCGGTAACTGTGCCGCCCCCCTGCCCGACACTCATGCTGTGTTTCCTGGGCTACGCTGCCCCTCCTACGGGCCCAGGACCGGCTTGCCGGGTGTCGATGGAAAGCTGGGAGGAAATCGGTGAATGGACTATGGTTCTATGGGACCGGGAGTGACGGGCATTGCATCACTACCGGTCCCATAGCTGTCATTGCTGGGCTACTGAAGCCCAGCAATAAGCTATTGAAGTGCGATCTGCAATTCAATAGCTTATTTAGAGTGTAAAGGTGATACTAGGGGTCTTTTGGACCCCCAGCATCACCTTAAAGAGTACCTGTCACTGCCAATATCCTATCATGTGGGGGCGCTTGTTGTAACCTCATCTTTTATATTTTAAAAAACAAATGGTTTTATATAGTGTTTTGGGGTACTAAAGTTAACTTAAGTGCATTTTACAAAACATTTTGGGGTTTGATAATAAATTGCGCTAATGTCGTGTAACATAAAAATTTGCAAATGCCACCATTTCATTCTGTAGGTTCTTGGCTTTCAGAAAATGTATAATGTTTGGGGGTTTTAAGTAATTTTCAGGCCTACAATGTGGATTATAACATAGCCTTTGTCCATAAGGGGTTAAGTTAAAGCGAATCTCTAGGCAAAACCTTATTTTTAGTTTTGGATAGATTAGGGAAGGGATCCACTGTTACATTTGAACTGATGCCTGTGTCCCCATTGGGGAATATCTGCATTTGTACTGATGATCATTGTCAACGAGGAAGAAAGTGAGGAGAAATTCACCATTTTAGAGTTATCCCCCCAAAAAAAAAATATTTTTTGTAAAAATCATCACTTTTGTAAAATTATCACGACAATTGGCTGATATGGATATAGTTATATCATTCTCAACTTTTCTTATGATGGGATGTATAACCAAACAGGTTGCGCTGAGAAAGGATTAAAGCCATCAGAAAACCCTTGCTCTAATCAGAATGCAGCACAATAAAGCTTTCTTAAAGCAGAAGGTATGCACATGTCTCAATCCATTATATAACCCAACAATTGGGGATTATTCCTTATTTCAGGACAATGGGGGGAGCCATGCAAATCATTGCTTTTAACCCCATTGGCCAGATGCACATTTATAACCACATATATGTTAAACAGTTATTTATTCCAAACTGCATACAACTGTTTCTGGCTTTTTGGCCATCATCGTTGCAGTGTATGTAAACCATGGCTTCTGTGGAATGAGGCTTGATACCCAATGAAACAAGATAACCAACCAAGGGATTGAAGCAATCAAAAAGCCCTCCAACTGAATCAGTGTGTAGCACAGTAAAACCTTCCTAAAACAAAAGGTATTCACATGTCTGATTGCATCTCCTATCCCAAAAATGAGAGGATTATTCCTCATTTCAGGAAATTGGAATGAGACATGTGCATGTCCTCTAAATAAAACGATTTTTGTCAATCAAATTTTACCGAAGCAGCTCAATAAGCAGAACTGAATTTCCAATTTGGTGACATTTCCCAAGTTGTGAAATTGGTAATTTTGTTGAAAATAATTTAAGCTGAAATCCCTTTGCAGACCCCTAATTGTGGCAAATGTACTTAAAATATTATTTAACCTTAATTAAATGGAACATAGACCTGTTTTGCCTTCTATATTCTACTCCTTTACAGTATTTTATCTACCAGTAAACTGCAGGGGGGTTTTGTCCAGTTATTTACTATGTAGCCCTATGCACACATACTGTACATGTGTTTCCTCTGAAACGCTGCATTTGAATTATAGTCAAAGACTGAGCATTATTCCAGATAATACTCTCCAGTGCACATTTAAAGAACAAATAAGGTTTTCAGCACAAGAAAAATAGGATGTCAATAAGCTACTACAAAATAACTGGAAAATGTATATTCTTGGCACGACTTTGGTTATAGATATAAAATTAGCATTTCCTAGTGGAAACTGAATGTTACTGATTCATGCTATCATTTAAATTTAATTCTATAAATGGATACTATTGAATGACCTTGAAATTTCAAAATAAAACAAAAACTTAGAGATGCCTCCAAATAGATAGAAATATAGGCTGACTGAATAATAGGCAACAATTTTGTGTCGTAAATATGATGAATTTTGCAAAAAGAAATTGCTAAAGACAAATGTATTTAATTAGAAGAAAACAAAAAAGTATGCTTTTGCAAAAATGCTACACAATCTCAGGTAATAGTTGTCAGTTCTACAAAACAGATCTGGATTAAGTATTTATTGGATAAAAACAATAATATTGTACTCACAGATGATCATGGAGGATATGAAGCAACTGAGAAATCAGACCAGGTAGAAGAGTATAGCAGTGCACTATAAGGAGAGCAAGCCCCGTCTAGGGGCTCTATCCCTGATGCAAACAGATGTTGAAAGCAAATATCACCTCTGGCCTCAGACTCCACCGGAAGGAACACAATCTCTCTGCTGCTAGGATACTCAACCCCCAAGTGTGGTCACTGCTCACTGGGAGAACGTGTTTTTTGGGGGGACACTCCCCTTCCTCCGCCTTAGCCGTGACTGAGATCAGTGGTAATTTTTGCCTTCAACATCTGTTTGCAGCAGGGACAGAGCCCTTGGCCAGGGCTTGCTCTGCCCATAGTACACTGCTGCTTGGATTTCTGTTTTGATACATATCCACAACAGTCATCTGTGAGTGTGATATCATTGTTTTTAACCAATAAATACCTAGTCCAAATGTACTAAACCAAATGGATCTCTTTACGCTTGTTCCTTTCAGTGCCATTTGGGAGCTCCGTCTCCGTGTTTTGTGGTCAAGCTGCATGCTCATTTTCAAGATATTGCTATTTACATTTGGTTGTATCTTTGGGCTACCTTGGATTTCTTGGCTTTACACATTAGAGATTGTATCTTTCATTTTGCCAACATTGTACCTCCTTTGCATATTTGTTTATCTATGTTGCTAGGCATCTAGATATGTTCAGAGCACTTGTATCTGTTTTATTTGTGTGTTATTCCTACAGAATGGAGAATGCAGTGGTTATGCTATGTTACGTATAATATCATATATAAGCACAGTGGCCAGGACTATGTAACATACAACATATGTATGTGTAACAGTCAGGAGTATCTATAACAGTGCCCATTATATTGCTGGTCAGTGGGAGAAAAGAATGCCTGGCATCAGTGGTTAGTGAAAGTAAAAAATAACATGGTGGAAAAATATGGTCTCAGTGGGAGGTAAGCATGCACCAATTATGGATTTCAGTGGAAGGAAAAAATGCACCGGAAATCAATAGTATTAAAAAAATGCCCTGGTATCAGTGGACAGTGGGAGGAAAAAGTGCTCCAACTGTGACAATGGGGAAAAAAAGCATTGGTGTTGGGGGGGATGTTGTCATTGGGAAACACTAGTGTTTAGGAGAGTGTACCTTTTAATGCTGGAGAGTGAAGCACATTGAGGTGTGCCTCTCCCTCATGCTGCTGCTCCATCCTGCATGCAATGTATTTAACCTACCCCCTCTCTAACTCTTTAATATCCCTCCCTCCCTAATCTGACACCCCCAATTCCTCTGTAAGGACCATGAAAAATGCAAGACCAAAGCCCTCCTGTGTTTTTAAAGGAATGGTGGAGTTTGAAAGGCAGAGCCCACTGCTGGATTAGAAGGATGGGTAGCAGCAGGGGTATAGACTTACTGGTGCATGAGAAGTTGTGGGTGGAGTTCAGGAGGCAGAGACTTGCTTCCCTTTTACATAGATTGGCAGTAAGACTTAATTGAGACATAATGGGATTATCCTGAGGTCCACGGGATTTGGCTCTCATTGTGAG